AGAAGAAAAACTGAACATTTAAAGCACATAGGAAATGAAACATGCCTGAATTTCTTTATACAATGCAATGTCATATTTCAACAGACACCCACTTTAATATTGGTTGGTATTAAAAAGTCAAGCCAGGAACTTTGAAGTGCCTTAAATTTTACTCTACTTTCAAGCTCACAAATGAGCTTCCTACCATTTCATAGATAACAGGCAAAAACAAAACAAAACAGCAACAACAAAAACAACCAAGCAAATAAGCAAAAATGAGTCCTCTGGGTCAGAGACAAAGGATAGTTTTACATTCTCAGCGATAGCAGTAGCCTGTGAACCTCTTTGTTTGCATAGGATTACCATACACAGGTAACAGAGAGTGACAAGCAGATGACCAGGAGTCACCTATTCAGGCAAAGAGTTGTATTTTAGACAAGAAATCTCAAAATCAAGTCCTAATCTCACGTTAAAACTCCCAGCAGCCTACCTGACTCACCTCCAGAGACAGTATCTTAATTATTCTGCCGTTTAAATCTCTCTTGGGATGAGGAATCTCTTAACTTTATGGTCTTAGAAAGCACAAAAATCAGAGGAAATTGCTTTTCATGCTTAGACATGAAGAAATATGACAGATTCATAAAGAATCGTCTCATAATAGTTGGTAGAAAAGTGTAGAAGTCGGGCACGGTGGCCCATGCCAGTAATACCAGCTGCTCTGGAGGCTGAGAGAGGAGGATCAAGAGTTCAAAGCCAGCCTCAGCAACAGCCAGGCACTAAGCAACTCAGTGAGACCCAGTCTCTAAATAAAATACAAAATTGTGCTGAGCATGTGGTTCAGTGGCCTAGTGACCCTGAGTTAGATCCCAGGTACCAAAAAAAAAAAAAAAAAATAGGAAGATGATAACAAAACTAATAATCATAACAATGATTATAATGTATAAGCCCTTTACATGTGATACTTTAATCCTCAATGACATTTTTGGCAACATGATTCTGTTCATTTTATAAAAGACGAAAGTTGAGATTTATTATTAGATTTAGGTGCCTTGTAGTATCGAGGATACCTAACAAGTGTTTTCAGAGATTGTGCATTATCCCAATGCAATGCTACCCATAGGTCTGATAGACAGGAATGTCTGAGAGGAGTGAGTCCTGGAACCAGCAGTGAGCCTTAACAGTAGAGTCTATCCAGGTATGAAGTGGTGTGGGATCACTTCATCATGTTACTGTTTATCCAACATAAACCAACAAGTACTGCGCTTCCCTGATCCAATACTATGCAAAATGAATCTGAAGATTCTACAATCTTTACCAAAGTTATTTGTGTGTATTTGAGAACATTAGCATAGATATGTTTTACACAGAATGCTGTTGTCAAGGAAACTCCTTCTTTCAGACGTTATCTGTGAGGGAAAGACTCYAATTGGACTGGGGCTCACCTTCCCATCAAGGTCTCTAAAGTGGCCACTTCCGTCACTCCTCATTTTACATCTGCCTTTACAGGCTGTTACTTGTAGGATAATTTAGTGACTATAATATGGGCAAAAAGGTAGAACTTCCTTTTTTTAAAAGTTGTCTTCTATAACAATTGCAAAGATATTATAAGAAATTATATTTTGATTATTATATTCTGGTAAGAAACCAAAGACAGAATTTTATAATGAACATGAATGAGAAAAGCTTCCAAGAAGAAAACTGATGTGGAGTCCTTTAACACAGTCACAAGGTTGCTATCCAGTTCTTAAGTGAGAAAGCCTAGGTTTGGACTGAAAACAAAAGATCTCTGGTAGTTACCCTTTAACATCTTGTCTACAATCAGCTTACATTTCCCTTTCTTTCTCCACTAGCTTGCAGGATTTTACCTATAAAATGTCAGACTCCTCACTTTCATAAAAAACACTCRACTTCCTCTAACAACATTTAAATTTTTGCCTGTAAATCAGAACACACTGTGATCAGATCGCAGCTCCTAGCATCTACTCCTTCTCCCATCAAAGCATATAACTGGAATAGTGGTAAAACAGCTCCAGTACGCTTGTATTTAGGCTTTGCCTAACAGCAGGCTTCTTTTCTGTYACAAACAACAGCCCTCCATTTTCATAGTGGCTCTTCTAATATCACTATTCCTTGGATTCATATACTACTTGATTTATAATCATGGTGTCTTTTATAACATCTTCTAAAATGAAGCAGACCATTTTATGGTAAAGGAAGTTCAATAATAGATGACAAAACAATACAAAGCCTAACATATGTATGTCACTAGAAACTGCTAGCCTGGTAAAACAGGTTCCAGCCTGGAGGTGACAATTCAATTTGTGATGCTGTCTTTCTAGAAGTGACACAGTTTTGAACTGTGGTTCTATGAATCATGATGGTATATTCTATAGCCAGTTTGGAACAGCCCATGAAAATGATGGCTAAATTTTCAGAAAATTTTAAGGCCAGTTGACCTCACATTGGTAGCTTGAAATTGGTCATTGTGTATTTACATCATGAAAACTGGCAAAGGGTATAAACTATATTTCCCCTTTTCCATGGTTCTGCCTCCCCAAAATCAAATGCATATGTATGAAAATCATGGCAGGAAGTAGGACTATCCCCTGTCACTATAACTCAAAGAGATCCTTTGAGAAATTTATACTTTCTGTCCCTCCAACTTCGATGAAATATGTGTTCTGCTTTTCAATTGTATGTATGGGCATGGGACATGGGCTTTTGCCAGGGTCAGTAATGATTTCAACAAATAAAAATCTACAGTTACCATATGGATGTTGTAGGCTTCTCATGGCAGTGTACCAACATGAAACAAACACCCCAAACAACCAAACAAAAAATGGTGATTATCATGGGAGTTGCTACTATATACTGTGGGCAGGAAGGACCATGAATGAAACTCAGTGAATGAGTTCAATTTCTATTTGAATGGTAATAACGAAAAATGGAAAATTGCAGAAACTACTGTTTGGGCAAAGAAATCATGAATTCATAGGTCTCTGGGGTGTGAGGGGGGGGGACAAAACATGTGAGCCATGCCACTAAGGAAGCTACAAGTAAAAAGAGTTGAATAAGTGTACAGGAAAATGATTGGAGAAAAGATGAAGTAAATTATGACCTTGGTTCAGAGTATGCCATCCTGGTATACTGTGCTTGTCTGTTTTTTTTTTTTTTTTTTAAATTGTAACCAGTCTCCACCTTTAAGAATCACTGACTGGACAAAGTGGACACTGACCATCTCCCAGCTTCTAGCATAGGCAGTCTTTGGTTTCAGCAGGGCCTCTTGTGGCCAGAATCTGTCCTCCCCATCATATGGAAGGCTGATACCTAACACCACAGCTCCTTGGGATTTTGACAGGATAACACTTAAGTGAACAAACTCTTGGTTTTCCAGAATTTCTAAGGGGAATTAAGTTTCCTAAAATTAAATCTACATTCTTTAATTGGCTTTCTCCCTTCACTGGCCTAACTCCAGTTCTTTCTGTGACTTTCTCCCAAAGAAATTAGTAATACTTAAGTCCATGACTGAGGCTCAGGTCTGGAAACACTAACATATTTATTAGTGTTACATAAATTTCAGTAAATATGTCAAGCTGCCCTCTATAAGATATTTAAGCCTTTGTCTTTTCTTATGACAAAGATAATCTTAACATTCAAGGCAATACCTTCACAATTAATATGTTTCTATGCAAATAGAGCTAAATAAGTATCTTTTCTGAAAACCTTATTTGAGAGATCAAGTATTACATTTTACTTGTTTGCATTTTGTTGATATAAGTAATCTGTAAAATCAGACTGAGATGAATCAGAGGTCTTATGCAGCTTCAAGCTTTACTAAGTAATATCAAGGCCACGTGAAAACTAAAGGATCTCATGAAGTAGGCATGAGAGTTCTGGATATGGATGATGGCTATCTCCCCAGCCTTTTACTTCCTGAATTAGATGTACATCTCTCTGCCTACATAAATTCTTTAAGAGAATTTCCCAGGGTTCCTTGTGAAATTATTTAAATGGCAACATATCTCCAATTTATTCCCCAGAAAATTGTGGCACCTGTGGACATTTCAGGGAATTTTGCACCATAAATATTGGGTTCTACTAACTCTTGCTGCCCTTAGCCAGGAGTATCCCATTAAAAGCATTTTAGGGATTAAATTCTCTTCCTCTTTGTGTAGCCTTCATTTAGTTATGTGAAGCTTCAGTTGACAAGGGATTATACCAGGTCTCCTGCCTCCTACCACCCCCAGTGGCACCCTTCCAGGAAGGGGAGAAAATCAATTGCTTCTTTATCTTGTTCCTCCCAAATGAATTCAGAGGCAGATCCATTCTCATATGTTCAATAAAAAATAGCCTCACCAGARATTCCTCCTCCTATATCCATCTCTAAGACTACAAACATGAACTATCCAAAAGAAAATGGCCAAGAAATATTTTGCTTAAATTCAATGAATTAAAATAAAATGTGATAACATCCTGTTTTTTTAAAATTTCATTTGCTTCAGAGTTCAATAATTTCTAGTGATGAGTAAGAAGGTCTAAAATGGTTCTGGGCACATTTATTTGTCTATTTGTTCTTGAGTTATAAAGAAAAAAACATATTTGAAAACTATAATGCATTATGGTTATTTGTCCAGGAAGAAAATGAGCATTATAAGGAATGGAAAATCACCCCCTAATCATACTGCCAAGACATTACTTCCCAGGAGTCCCAAAGGCATTGAGGAGTGAGGGGATCTCATTACCTATCCAAGCACTGCTGAGTGAAGAATATGAGGAATGCTTTTCATTCATATTCATTATTTCACTTATCATATCAGAGATAAACCCTAAGAAACTCAGAAAGAATCTTGGCATGGAAGTATAAAAGAATCAGTAAAAATGGTAGGATAGCGCAGTAAGATAGTCTTTGAACAGTATCACATACCTCAGCCTGTCTAAGATAAAAATATGACATATCCAAAATCAAAGGGAGATAGAAAATGCAGATATAATTCAGGAAAGTGCAGTCATCTTATACTTACTGAAGCTACATTCACAAAATCATCATCTGAGAGAGTTTCCAACATTTCGGAGACAGACGTTCGGATTAGTTTAAGAGTCAATCCACTGACACTTCCACTCCTGGGGACAGACAAGTGGGTCTGCATGAGTTACTCACCAGTTATTTCATCAACAGCATCATAAGGAAAGACAGCTTATGCATTAAACCTGGATCATTTATATAATATTCAAATAAGAAATGTCTCTAAAACATTTGTAGAAGAGATTTTTTGATAGAATGAAAATAAGAAACTTTGTTTCATCTTCTACCAATATCAATACGTATGTCTAAATGAAACTGCCAAAATTGTCTGTAAGAGACAATTTATAAAATACATGGATGCTCAAGGCATATTTGCTCATTCAAAGCATATGTATCAAATAACAGCCCTGAGAGCCAATTTAGCAGAGAGGGCTACAGAGGTAATAGACACAGTCACTGTCCTGAAAGCCCACTGTTTGACTTTATTGAGCCAATAATTATAAAGCCACAAAACCACTGTATGACAATAGATTTGTGAGAGATTGCCTTGTTTGGCACTCTGAAGTAGATATCCTCTACAACTTAATATTCATTTTTCTTGTCTCTATATTTTCTATGGTCCTCTGTGACCTCCCTTATTTTCGGGGCTCAACTCTAAGTGACTAACTCCCACTTCAACATCATGGACACTCATCAGTATCTTAGCTTGAAATAATGTAACAAATAAATAAAATGACCAGTATATAAACTCGTAGAAATTATCTTATATATCATCATGTCCCTTGAAAAAGTTACAGTACTAACATTTAATAAAATAGTTAACATTCATCTATTTTATGACCAGATTTCTAAAACTTAACTCACTTTTCTTCTGGTTTTTTTTTTTTTTTTTTTTGCTACTGGAATGCAGCTCAGGACTCAAGGCCTCACGCCTTTCATGCAAGCACTCTCACCTTCCCAGGCCCCCTAAAATTTAATTGAGTCATTAATGACTCAAGTGTCAAATGAATCTTTTTTTGGTAGGAATAACTGCTTAGTTTCAGCAATTCTGTATTTAAATATTGCTCAAAATATAAATCAATAATTAGAAACAAATAAGTAGTTTTTTTTAAAAAAATGCAGACTTTAGAACCATGCCATTAATTTCCCACTTTCTGCATTATAAACATGAAAGTCTTCTCATTTTCAATAAATTAATCTTTGCTGATTTTGTTATTGTGGCTTCCTTGTGTGGATAAAAAAGTATAAAAATCATGCTCTCTTTTTTTTTCAAACTGTCATACAGTTTCAACATATTACTATTACCTACAAATTCTCTCAAATGCTCAGCATAAAAATATGTAATAAGTAACCACTCACACATCAACCAGAATAAGCATGTCCTTAGGAGATGCAGCTCCTTGGATATACCTGAAACAAATAGCACATATTTTTTTTTCCTCTCTGCAACATAACAAGCGTAGATATTAATTGTCTTGATTTTAACAGATCTCTGATATTGGCATTTTCCAAGCAAAGACCTAATTCCATGCAATCTCAGTAGACAATGGCCTTTTTTCACATTCTGCAATGGCAGCTTGAAAAGGTTACATTTAACCTGACATTAGAGATGCCAAAGGCATGATAATTAAAGCATATTTTCCAGATATTTATAACAAAAGAACAAAAGATAGATTTTTAATACTAACAGTGAATGAAATCACCTCCCAGAAGGACATTTTCTACAGGAAAAAGCAGCCATCTTGAGCTGCAATTGTTGACCACATGTTTTTAAACCACTTCAATGAACAACAGATTATCCTATTTTTAAATATAAAAAGTAAAAACAAAAAAGATCTGTGGTCTAGAAACTTAAAAAAAATATATATTTTTTTAAACAGGCCAATAAGGTAACTAAGAAATCACACAGTAGGTAATGTTAGCACCAAGAATTTCAAGTAGGCTCACAAAAAACTTTACAGTATTCAAAAAATCATTCCAAGAATCAGCTTAAAATGTTGATTCCTAATTTAAACACAGCCATAGAGAATCAGAATCTGCATTTTAAAGAGACTCTAGGAGAGTTTTGCACAGATGGTTCATTGATTGTAGAGAGATTTCAAAAACCTTGAAAGCTCCTGCTGCCAGGCTACAATAGGAATTTGACTTTCTAGTCATTTCTGTGGTCTCTCTGCCCATGACTGGAAATCTAGCTTCTCATAAGCCTGCAGGTTACTTTCCCATTACTTTTCACAAAACTTGCAGCACAGTTGCCACCTATTCATGTCTGTGTTGATGAAGCAGTCAGTTTATAATCTGCATCCATGCTTGCTTCCCTATAAGAAGGTAAAATGGCAGTTGTAGGTGTGTGTTGCCATGGAAGCCCAATCTAGTTCATGCCTGGTGCCTTATTTATTTATTTATTTTTGGCTTGGTTTGTTTTTTGTTTGTATTTATTTATTTATTTTTAATTGATGCATTATCATCTGACATAAGGTGATGCATGCAGAACATCAGTCTTAATGCCTGGCATCTTAACACCACTGGTGGTAGGCTTCTCCATGGGAAGACAATAAAAGAGGATGCTGATTGCTTCTTATGGTTAGAATCTAGCTTCCATGTTTCCCACAAAACAATGAAGATTTTTGAACCCAAATCATGTGTTATAGTAATCTTTGCTTCCACTCAACAACATATGGCTCCAAAGAGATACACCAGAGAAATATTATCAAGAATAACACACAGATTAACATTGATCACTATGATACATGTCTGGTGTTCATGCAAATTGGTACTGGGACATTTAACAGGGAACTTAAAAGTCTTAAATACATGTCCATTGAATCAACCATTATGCTGCTTAGAATCTGTTAGAAACATGAGCCAAATGTTAGGAATAAATTAAATATCCAATAATAGTTTATTTCTTAAATAAGTTACCATATATTTTAAAAATGATATCTCTTATCATGAATGTGTATTCAAAGGTAATGGTATTAAAAGGGTGAGATACAAAGCACTATGCTATATATAATATGAATGCATTAAAAAGATACAGTTATATATTACCTCTTTTTTTCAAAAATTGAAATAAAATAAAAAACCCAAAATTGATAGTTGTTTCCCAATGAGTCCAACTATAGATTATCAATATTTTTTTTCATCTTCTATTAGGAGAATTAGTTGCTTTTGTATTGAGGGACAAATAAAACTTCCTTTTGGAAAAAAAAATAAAATCTAAGTTATAGGAATATAATTAGGGGCAGCTTTTACTGTAGGGCCAGTTCTCATTAGTTCATTGCCAGAGGCAAACTATCTCCTACTCCATGCCATCTCTGTTGGAGATCTATCCCAAGCAAACTGGGAACCCTTCAACAGAAATCCCCACCAGCCTAAAGAGATTTGAAGCTGAGACTGCATATAAATCTGAAGATAGTCCATTTGAAATGTGATATTTCATTTCAGCAATATCTGCCTTATTTCTCCATAAACTCATCACTTGTACTTACCTTTGATTATATTTACTTTTAAGAAAACTTTACATAATTAGATAATGTTCATCCTAATAATGAAAACATCTCCCCAACATTTTTAACAAAACTTGTTTTGTCTTTCTCACATTTAAGGTCAGCAAAAAATCCTTACCATGGTCTTCGGCGTACATCGTAAAGATCAATCTTGTTTGGAGTTCTACTATTATCAACCCATGGGGAAGCTTTAAAGCAAAAAAGGAAAAATCACAACAATATGTTAGATAAGCTCTACAAAAATAGTGTAATCCCCCCCTAAGAAAACTCCTTACGAAACTCCATAGAAAACACCCAGACAAAATTTCCACTTATCTATACCAATGTTTGAATAGGAGGTATCATTTTTATGCCCTCAGTATTTTCTCTTTTATTGTAGAAAACAACACACTAGTACAGAAGAAAGTCAATATAAGCCATTTTCTTTTCTCACATAATTTCAAAAATAACCCTGATATAAGGGTTTTGTGCTAAACTTTATGTCTTATCAAGGGTGCTAACTTATATGTCTTATCAAGGATCCAAAGGTTTTACATTTTCCCTCACCTCTTTAAACAGAAAATTTACCTTGACAGCAAATTTATGTGCCACTAATAGATATTATGGATTCAATTGTTTTATTTTTATTCAATATTTTTATTCATTTTGGTCTACATAAGATTTTATTAGACAGTTATAAAATATTTTAAAAATTAAAATAACCTTTTAATTTTCATAATCATATATTTGATAATGAGCCAAACTATTTTGAAATCCTAATTCAAAGGTTAGACCATAATTAAAATAATTCCATAATTTAAAAAAAATTATTTCAAAGATGTACAATAATTCTAGTTTGGAATCAGTATATTTTTTAGTTCCATAGTATCTATCATTTGGCAGTAATCAGAACTTTAGCATAATATTATTGATTTTTAAATGCAATTAGTTTATACTTATTCTAATTTATCTACACTTACTTTATTTAAAATGTTTTATAAGGTTTAACTTGCACACACACCTTAGACCTACTAGAGAAAAATAAATGCTAATGTATTGGATGATACTATCATGATGAAACAAGTCTCTCTCTTTGAAGATATTTACACATGGGACCCTTGGGAAAATTCAAGTCATATGACTGATGTGCCACAATCTATTTTACCCTTTTCTTTATTGTGTACCTATGTAAATTAAGGAGAACTTTACTGAGAGTCAGGTTTATTAGCCAATGAATATAATTTGGCCAATTAGGACATGTCTAAAATATATACAACTAAATCCCTTCTTGACTGTGAAATTTTTTTCCTATTAGTGGCTATAATATAAAATGATTTATTCATTTTAAATGACTAATCACATTTACATGAAACAGTAAGCTTAAATATAGCACTCCCCCAAGAACCAATTACTGACATAGTCAATGTAACTGATATGGTAAATTTATTCTTTCAATTTGCATTTGCAGAATCTAAGTGCCAGTGATACAAAATATCTTTCACTTTTGCAGCACTAAAATTGAGCAACAGGCATGTTGGTAGACACCTCAGTTCACTTTCAACTATTCATCTATAATATTGATTCCCAAAGTTAATATCTTAGTAATAACTAAAAATTTAAAGAAATTGTATCTTAATTTCAGTAGCATATTATGCCTAGTATATATTCATTGCCTCTTAACTCTAAATGTTACCCTTTGGGCTTGTTCTACGAAAAATGGATCTGGGTTCTTTGTACACTTATCTTTTACCAGCTGGCATATCTTCAAGCTTTGTACCTAGGTGATGCAAACTCTGAATGAGGCAAGGGTCTTTTCTTGATGTTTTTGGCTCATTAGCTCATCACAGGCAGGTGTAGCATGCACTGCTTTTCTGCTGTCTCTGGCTGTGCAAACCTGTTTTCTAGAGCTCATCTCCTGATGTGCTGCAGTTCTCCCATGTTCCTACACCTTGGGGAGCTTCACCAGGCACCTGAAGGCCAGCAGTAGTCCCCAACCATTTTTTTGCAGTGAAAAGCTTCCAATGAGACACCTTGGACAGAAAGTGAATTTTCAGCAAGTCCTACCAGTGTAGACCATGATCATGTCCTTATGAAGAAGGTCTGAAACTCAGGCCATCAGTAAGGAAATTGGGGCTCTTTCTTGGGTACTCTAGCTCAGGCTTAGGGATAGTAATTGTATGTTAAGTTATAAGGTATTGTATCTGGCATTCATTTAGCCTTTAGAATTCTCTGTAATCCCATCCATTTCCATCATTACTCTAATCCCTGTTATAGTTAATTCTTTATTAAAATATAAACTTTCCCTGGCTCAAATTACTATTTTTCACTCCCCCCCACAACCCTGATTGGACCAAGACTTAGTACTGATGTACAGAAGAGATGAGAGAAGTGAGAGTAGTCCACTGTCAATAGCAGTTAGCAATAAATTTGATCAATGATTTAATGAAATGGGAATTTGAAAGTTCTTTTAAAATTACATCTCTGAATTCTTTATAGAGCACATTCATCTAGGATTTGTTTCACTACTATAATTGCTAAATGAAATGAACTGATAGGGAAGTACTACACTTCATAAAACTTATCTTTCTTTAAAGACAAAAAAACATTAAAATGTTATAATCTTAGGTGGCTACATTTAAAAATATTAATAATCTTACATAAGCTTTCTGAGATTTTGTGTTAAGTCATATCCTGAGATTAGACTAAATTAAGATATGTATAAATCATGGTAAAATTAAACAATATAATTTCTTCTGTGATTGACATGTAAAATCTCCTTGTGGAATTTAAGGAGCACATTTTTTTTATATATAAGCTTAACTTTATAGAATATCAAATAGTAAAAGAAATAAGAACCATATACCATAATTCCCTGAAATAATCGGTTTCATAATCAGACATAGTGACAGTACATGCCATGAAATCAGTTTCTCAAATCCCTGCAAAATGTGTGTTGCCCATTTTAGATGTCCTGTTAGTGTTCCAGAAAGTTTTTTTGGAATGCAGGACAGAGGAACAGAAATAGCCTACAATGTGGCATCTCATTACTGACCACCATCATTAAAGGCAATGATGTTCACTTATGAGAACACTTTTCCTCTGAACAAAAATAAATTGTGGATGTGTCTCTTACCAGTTCTACTGGTATACTATTTCACATGCTATCAAGCATGCACTGTAGCAGCTATTGATCTGACTTAAGCAGATGTTTACCTATACATTGACTCAGAATACTGAAACATGACAGAGGTATATTCTTGAGAAGGTATGAAAATCTTAGAGCCATTTTATACATAATATAATCTAAAAAAATAGGAAACTGTCCAGTTTTCATTGTAGTGGCTGGGAAAAAAATTAAACAAATGATGGTGCATTGAGGATTGATGCTCTTGATAGAAATACCACTTCACAAAACAGATAATTGAATTTCCAATTATTAAGTTCAAATGTAGTTTCTAACTTGAACAATCTTCACATCTGTAATCTCATGAAAATAAAAAGTAGCATGTTTAATATACTTGAAAATGCCTTTTAAAATCACTCCTGATCCTTTTGCCCAGAACTAATTGGTAGACCATTATTTTAGTCTTGTCTCAGTCATCTCTTATATTAGTCATGCTCTGGATTGCTAGCCAAGATAATCAACTAGGACTCTTTTTAAAGCAAAAATTAATTCACCAAATGTGTATTGTATAGCTTACAAATTTCCAGAAATCTGAGTATTACTATCTAACAACTCCCATTTGAGAATAGATTCTATACAGTTCCTAATTTGTACCATGGCTTCCACATCCAGGTTCAGTATGGATGAGCAGTATGGATGAGTCTCGTAAGTATGAACTAGTACGCCATATCAACACACCACAGAAACTAGAAAAGCAAATAGCTGACCTATTCAGATTTTGAGTTATCATGGAAATACTGAAAACAGAAAGATGATTGTATATTAGTATTGGTGATGTAACATGCCTTGAAGTATAAATTTCAAATCTTGTTAGCATAGTAATTAGCACAGTAAGTATTCTCAGCATAGTACTGTTCTTAGCATAGTGTTTTAGCATAGGAATTTTCACTCATATAACAGACCAAGATATTACTAGTCATGGGAGACACAGATTCTGCTCCAGATAGTTACACAGAGGTCTAAAGCTAGAAGAGCTTTTGCCTTTGACCACTGTCTTCCAAGGTCACCCAAGCTGCTAAAGGATTTAACTGTGGAGAAGATACAGGCAAGTCATGATAATCTCACTTTCTCCATATTCTGTTGGAAAGAATTAGCCACATGGTCCTATACAGACACAAGGGAGGTCTAAGAAATGAAGTCCCTGGCTAGTCAGTCACTTCCAAAATGAGATTTCATAATGATGGAGGAGGACAAAACTCTGTGGGAAGCTATATAACTTTTGCCACAAGTACAGATAGACACTTTTTAAATCAGTACTGTTTACTACTAATGATAATATCAAATTTTCTGTACTTAGCCAATGTTTTTCAAATAAACCAGCCCTAAGATGAAGGAGAAGGGAATGGACTGAATTCAGAACCTAGTAAATAAATAAAAGATGTCAGATTGAAAAGTCATTTCTGACTAAATTTAGCAGTAGGATTGCTTACATAAGAAATTCACTGGAAGAAAATAACTAGAAACCAATGCAGCATTGTTGTTGATGTTTGAATTACTAAACAAACTACAAGCCTGGTCTGCAGAAGCACTGTAATTATTTGAGCCCTAAAGCAACTCTTGGGCTCCAAAGTTGCACCAGAAAACAGCAAGGTAAGAAAGCTGTCTAGCCCCAAGCACAGCCCATTCACATGTGTCCAACAGTATTTTAGACAAGTGAGTGATTCCCACAGAGCACTCAGAAACAATCAGAGGAGCTGAGAAACTTGCTTTATGCAAGTTACCAGGGCTTTGGGTTTCTTTCTTGATCAAATGGGTAGGGAAAATAATGGATCAGGGATGGCTCTGTTTTTCTTGCTCTTTTTCCAAGTGGGAGTTTTTCTATTATAAGGAGCAAAAGCAACAATTGTATATCATACCCGTGGGCAAGCAACTGGAATTAATAGGGTTGACAAAATAGTATTCTGCTGAATTATAATGTAGTCAAATTTTAAAAAGTCATACTAAATTATGGAGAAAATTGCATGTGACCCAGAGATCCTGGACTCTAGCTAGTACTAACTAGTTGGGACTTTGGACCATCTGTGG